GTGTTGCATGTAGGATACAGTGGGTACTCAAAATTTATTAATATCAGCTTCCATCTTCCTGTCATCCTTCCTAACTCTTTTTCCTTTTTCCTCTTCCACCCTTTCCTCCCTTTCTTCCAGTCCCCTACTTCCTAATTGAGGGTTTTTATTGGTATCCTTTGTTTCAAGCTCTTGGTGCACTCTTGTTGGGTATGGGAGAATTGTGCTTCTAGAATATAAGTTCATACGGATATGTAGATGTAGGGTCAGTATTACCAGAGACCTGAAGGAAAAGAGTTGGTCACTTGAACTTTCTGCATAGTTACAAGCAAATAAGAAACATTTTCATTTTAAAAGCAAATTGGAAGAATCTAATGTGTAGAAAATTCCTTTCATGTTCTAATGAAAGGGAAATTTTGTGGGGTTTGTTTGTTTATTGAAGTTCTATGCATGTAAGGGGATATTTCTTGTTTAAGTTATTTTGAAATGTACCTGCAGGGTTGTTACTATTTTTATTTTTTAGTTTTTTCTGAGACAGAGTCTCATTATGTCGCCCTCAGTAGAGTGCTTTGACATCACAGCTCACAGCAACCTCAAACTCTTGGGCTTAAGCGATTGTCTTGCCTCAGCCTCCCAAGTAGTTGGGACTGCAGGGCCCGCCACAACACCCAGCTATTTTTTTGTTGCAGTTATTGTTGTTTAGCTGGCCGGGGCCGGGTTTGAACCCGCCAACCTCGGTGCATGTTGGCACCATAACCACTGTGGTACGGGTGCCGAGCCAGGGTTGTTATTTTGAATACTACTCTTGGTCCAGGATTAAGAATGTGCACAGTGCTCACTTCAGTAGCACATATACAAGCATACTTCATTTTTTCCACTTTATAGATTTTGCTTTTTTTTACAAATTGAAAGTTGGTGGCAACCTTGCCTCAAGCAACTCATCTTTTAGTCTTATTTTCCAACAGCATGTACTCACTTTGTGTCACATTTTGGTAATTCTCACAATTATTTCCAATTTATTATATCTGTTAAGGTGGTCTGTGATCAGGGATCTTTGGTGTTAACTATTGTAATTGCTCTGTGGCACCACAATCCATGGCCACATTAGAAGGCAAACGTACAATGAATGTTTTGTGTATTCCTGACCATTCCAGCCATTCCACCACCTCTCTCATCAGGCTTCCTTAATTCCTTAAAACACATAATACTAAAACTAGGCCAATTAATAGCCCAAGAATGGCCTCTAAATAAATGTTCAAGTGAAAAGGCGATTCATTAATCTCTCACTTTATGTCGAAAGATAGAATTGATTAAGCTTAGTAAAGAAGACATGTTGAAGGCCAAGCTAGGCCAATGGCTAGATCTCTTGTGTCAAATAGTCACATTGTGAATGCAAAGGAAAATTTCAGTGGAAATGGTTTACATTTATAAAATAGTTTTTGGCTGCTATATAATTGGAGGAGGCAGAAGTAGAATCAGGAAGGCTATTTAGAAGCCTATTGGAAAAGTCCAGGCAAGAAATGATGGTGACTTAGACTGGAGTGGTGGCATTGGGGATAATAAGAAATAGACAAAGATTTATTTTGGGCTGGGTGCGGTGGCTCATGCCTGTAATCCTAGCACTCTGGGAGCCTGCGGTGGGTTGATTGTTTGCGCTCACGAGTTTGAGACCAGCCTGAGTAAAAATCAAGACCCTGTCTCTACTAAAAATGGAAAAACTGAGGCAAGGGTGGCACCTTTGGCTCAGGGAGGCAAGGTGGGGTTGAGCCCAGCCCTGGCCAAACTGCAACCAAAAAATAGCCAGGCGTTGTGACAGGCACCTGTAGTCCTAGCTACTCGGGAGGCTGAGGCAAGAGAATTATCTAAGCCCAAGAGCTATAGGTTGCTGTGAGCTGTGAGCCACGGCACTCTACCGAGGGCAACAAAATGAGACTCTGGCTCTAAAAAAAAAAAAGAAAGAAAGAAAAACTGAGGCAAGAGGATCATTTGAGCTGAGTTGGAGGTTGCTGTGAGCTATGATGTCATAGCACTCTATCTAGGGCGACAGCTTGAGTCTTCTGTCTCAAAAAACAAACCAAGGCTCGGCGCCTGTGGCTCAACCGGCTAAGGCGCCAGCCACGTACACCTAAGGTGGCGGGTTCGAATCCCC